TTTTTTTTTATTGACCCTCTTTACCAAGCACAATATCCTTGTTTAGGGATTGGTTCCTTCTGAAACATGACCAAAGTAGGAGAGATAATGCCTGGCTGTTTTCATTTCTAAGGAGCATTCTGGTTGCACTTCTTCCAAGACAGATTTATTCATTCTTCTGGGGGTCCATGGTATTTTCAATAATCTTCACTACCACTACAATTCAAATGCATCAGTTCTCTTGGTTCTTCCTCATTTGTTCTTCAGCTTTCATATGAGTATGAGACAATTGAAAATATCATGGCTTGAGTCAGGCACACCTTAGTCTTCAATATAGCATCAACAGAGAACTACCTGAAATTCATCCAGATTCAGAATAGTACCTAGAATGAGGAATATCATTGTTGATGTCAGCTGGATCTTGGCTGAAAGCAGAGAATACTAGAAAGATGTTCATTTGTGTTTTACTGACTATGCAAAAGCACTCAATTAAGTGGATGATAACAAATTCTGGATAACATTATAAAGAATGTGAATTCCAGAAGGTTAATTGTGCTTGTGCAGAACTTCTATATAGACAATGAGGCAGTTGTTTGAACAGAAGAAGGAAATACTGCATGATTTACAATCAGAAAAAAAAAATGTGTGTCAAGTATGCATATTTTCAATATACTTACTTAAATTGTATGCTGAGCAAATAATCCAAGAAGCTGGACTACAGGAAGAAGAATGCAGCATCAGGATTGGAGGAAGACTCATTAACAATCTGCAATATGCAAATGACACAACTTGCTTTCTGAAAGTGAAGAGGACTGAAAACACTGATGAACACCAAAGATTAGAGCCTTCAGAATGGATTACACACGTCAAGATAAAGAACACAAAAATCCTCACAAATGGATCAATAAATAACATCATGATAAATAGAGAAAAGATTGAATATGTTGATGATTTCATTTTACTTGGATCCACAATCAACACCCATGGAAGCGATAGTAAAGGAATGAAATGATGTATTGCATTGGACAAATCTGTTGCAAAAGACCTCTTTAAAATGTTAAAAAGCAAAGATGTCTCTTTGAGTACTAAGATGAGCCTAACTCAAGCCATGGTAGTTTCAATTGCATAATATGCATATGGAAGCTAGGCAGTGAATAAGGAATGCATTTGTATTATTGTGTATAACAGTGTTGGTGAAGACTATTGAATATGCCATGGACTGATGGAAGAACAAACAAATCTGTCTTGGAACAAGTATAACCAGAATAGTCCTTAGAAGTGAGGATGGTAAGACTTCATCACACATATTTTGGACATGTTATCAAGAGGGATCTGTTTCTGGAGAAAGACATCATGCTTGGTAAAAGTAGTGGGACAGCAAAAAAGAGAAAGACTCTCAAGACTCTCAACAATAGTAACTGTTTTGAGGATGGTGCAAGACTTTTGGGCAGCATTTCATTCTATTATTCTATTGTTAGTCAGAACCAAGTCAATGGCACCTAAAAACAGTCTATCCTCTACAGGAGCTTGTAATGTTAATTACTTTTCAATGTGATGAAATGTGTACCCAATGCCTAGATAATTAAATAAGTAGTTATTCTCAGTATCCAATGGAATATTGGTTCCAGGAACCCTGTAGATAGCAAAATCTCATGGATACTCAAGTTACTTGTATAAAATAGTGTATAGTATTTGCATATAAACTGTGCAAATTTCATATACTTTAAATCATCTCTAGATTACTTATAATACCTAATATAGTACATAAATCCTATGTTAATAACACTTTCTGCTCCCTTTGAAGGATTACTTTGACTAATTAATTGTTTTTTAGGAGCCAATTTTTCATAGAAACAAAGGGTGCACACAACACAATTAATGAACCAGCAAGAGGTGAGGTGAACAATACTCAAACAAGGATTGCTGGAAAGAGAATAAGGATCTGTGAAATGGCAGGCACTACAGCATGGTATGCGGACACATCAGCTCACTCATGCAGATTCAGTTTAGTGCTTGGTGCGTGGAAAATTCAAGTTTCAGGTTTTGGAACTTTCTAGAATTTTTCTTTTGGAATATTTTTGATCCACCATTGGTTGAATATGAGAATTTGGAACCTACAGATATTGAGGAGTGACTATATGTCCAAGGAAGTCATGAGTACACAGTAATACGTGCATGTCCTAATATAGCTCAGAGGTAAAAATTTTTCAGAAGCAGAGTGGAATATATATATCCTTGAGGTTGAGATCCTGGAAAAAAATCAGAAACATTTCATTTAATTGTTGTTGTTGTTATGTGCCGTTGAGTTGGACCCGACTCATAGCAACCCCTCCTTGGGTTTCCGAGGCAGTATCACTACAGAAGTAGATTGCCCCATCTTCCTTCCGAGGAGTGACTTGTGGGTTTGAACTGCCAGCAGTGAAGTGTCTTAGGCACTACGCTACCAGAGCTCCCATATGGTACTATAGTGCTCCAAGAATAGACTATGGTTATTTGAGGGGAATTTGTCCTAATTTTGAAAGGTATTTAGGAAGAATCTCCAATTCATAATATGTATTTTCTTCTTTTCTGAGATTATACTATGAACAAGGAATAAATCTTCATTAGCTGCTCATAACAATGCTAGTGCTGTTGGCATTTACTTCAGTACAAGTTTAGTGATTTACCCAGATCTGAGAGTGGGCACCCAGAAACAAAAGCATTTAAAATAAAGTGTTCTTCTTGGAGAAATTTCCTTACAAAAAGGTATCATTCAGTGAACAATATCTGCAATTTGATGTTATCAGAAACATTTTCTAATTTAAATTACCATCTGACTTATGTTTCACTTGCCATTTTTTCTGTGTTTGTTTTCTTTAGATAAGAAATGTTGAAACCAATCAATGTTTAGACAACATGGGCCGCAAGGAAAATGAGAAAGTGGGTATATTCAACTGTCACGGTATGGGAGGAAATCAGGTATTCTTTTTTTTTTTTTTTTTTAAATCATATATGTGTATGTATTTTGGAGAGAAAAATATTATAAAAACAATAGATGTAGACCGTGGCCCACATTGCAATAACAATAAAGTTTCAATTTAGTAAGTTAATGATCATTCAGTAAAATTTGGTTATTTTATTTCTTCAACTATCTTAAGAGAACACTACAAAATTTAATAGAAAAGACAACACTGTCAATGAGACTACAGTTTATTCATGAGGCCATTCAAGTATTTTAGACCCATCTCAATATACCAAGCATGAACAAAGGTGGACTACATTTTATTCTGTTATGTACTGAATTATATAAAATAATCCTTCAACAACTACGATATATTCCCAAAGGCTATCATTCTAAATTTCTTTTAGAAATATTTATGTCTCTTAAAGTCCCTAGAACATTCTGAGGTTCACCAAAACTTTAAAATGCATAGTGCCTTTCTTAATTTTTGCTCTGGCTATCTTTGGAGCAGGAAAAAATTTAGTATTTCAACAAGATTGATGACTTTCTAAAGTCTAGAACAGTATTTTTTTGTGTGTAAGAGTTGAATCAATGATTACATACTTAGCAGATATAAGGATTTTTGTGCTCTAAGTGCTGGAAAGTAGCTTTGCAAGGTGAACCTCATGGAAGCAAGTTGGCGGGAGTCTTCTGGCTGGCACAGCCTTGTTGCTATGGACACTTTAAGACATAGAATTTGCAATCTCTGGGGACTGTAGAAACTAAACAAAATTTAAGAGAGTGAACCTCTTCCACAAGTTGTCTGCAGAAATGGAAGAAAACCACACTGGTGAGTTTTTAATCTAGTGATAGAACTTCTGGGTTAGAGTGAACTAAGTTAGCAAAAGATATTCTACCCGGCCCAATATTATGGTTAGTCACATTTGGGATGGAGCTGAGTGTGTCAAGGTTACACATAAAAATGCATGTTAATTATGGTACAGTACAGCAAGAGATAATGGCCCTGTTAACATGTAGAATGAACTTCAAATCAGGCCTATATAATGCAATGAGGAAAATCAACAGGAGATTTCTTTCTTAAAAAAATGATCTAATTATTAACAGATTTTAATGTAAGCAAGAAAATGTTTAAATCAAACTTTTAAAATCACAACATGGAAAAGTAACCTTTAGACCCACTGCCAGTGAGTCGGTTCTGAGTCATAGCGACCCCTCTTTGGGTTTTCTATGGAAATAGATTGCCCAGTCTTCCTTGTGAGGAGTGGCTGGTGGTTTTGAACCTCCAGCCTTCTGGTTAGCAGTCAGATGCCCTAGGCACTACTCCACCAGACCTTTGGAAGAAGATGATTAAAAACTATGGGAAGAACAATGATGAAGCATTTAAAAGTGGTCCAACTTATTGTTATATTGATTCAGAATGAAAGGGAGAGGCCTCTACTACCAAACACCAAAGTAGTTCAATGATTTCAGCAGAAAACAGCAAAGTCTAATGATCAGAGGATTCAAATCCAGGACTTTAATTTTCTCATGTAATAAAATGTCTGAAAAAATCAATTGCTGGCATTTGTTCAAGTCCTCAATAATTCCACAAGGAAACCAGGCATTTTCTACATTTCCATTCCTCAAACCTTAGAGTTGGCTTTTATCAGCAACTCATTACAAAAGGCCTGCTGAAACTGCAGATATCATCCCACATTCAAGGCAGGAAGAAGTGGGAATAGAGAAGAGCTACAATAGCTATGAGGAAAATCAACAGCTTTCTCTTTAAAAAAAAAACACAAAACTAATTATTAAATGATTTTAATGTAAGCAAGAATATGTTTAAACCTTTGGACTCACTGCTGTTGAGTGGGTTCTCACTCATAGCGACCCCTCCTTCGGTTTTCTTTTACTCTGCAAAGTAAAAGCTTTCCTAGAGGCTCAACACATTTCCATATATGTTTCTTTGACCATAAATATGACTTGGGCACTCCTAGTGCAAAGAACACTGGCAAGTAAATACTTCACCTCACACTCACAAATGGCCACTCCTCCTAACTTATTTTGCATAACTATTGTGTGGACATTTAGAAGTGTCTATCATAATCTGTTTCAACAGCTTGTGAATAAACCAACTGATCATCTGCACAATGATGACCTAACATTAGTTGTAAAATCACTCTTCTTCTAATGCAGATGAAAATGAGGAAAGTGCCCCTGATGGATTATCTATATAGAGTCCTTAAAATGTCACAGTTTAAAAGGATAACCAGTCATATTTTTAATTACATACATATATATGATAACTATATCTAAATGATTCCAAACACCTGGATCATAATTGTTAAAGCACTTATCATTCATCTACAAACTTTTAAATACCCAGAAGTAAGCTATTCTACCCTACCATAAGCTTCTTCTTTGGAGCAACTTTTTCTATTCCTCTTTTCATCCCTGGAACATGATATAGTGCTTGGAATATGTTAGGCACTTAATAAATATTAGTTGAATAATTGGATAGAAGAATGCATGGTCCAAACAATGGATTTATACCTAAGTGTCATGTGTACATTGTTAGGGAATAATTTGCTGTTCTTGTCTTAGTAAGGAGCTCTGGTAGCACAGTACTTAAGGCATCTGAATGCTAGCTAGAAGGTTGGTGGTTCAAACTCATCAGCCACTCCATGGAAACAAGACTAGGCAATCTACTTCCATAAAGATTTACCGCCTTAGAAACCCAATGGAAGTTGTTATGAGTCAGAATTGACTTGACAGCACTGGGCTTTTTTTTTTTTTTTTTGTCATAGTAACCGAAAGTCACCAATTTTGGTGATATATAAAGAAAATGAAGGAGTGAGCAGTCAGTAAAAAACTCATTCCTATACGTGTTCAAGTGTCTATAAATAATTAATTTAATGGCAAGGTAGAAATTAAAACAAATATTTTTCTATCTGCATGAATATTTCTTCATGTAACAAGTGTTTATGTATAAGAATATTTATTGGAGCCCTTTTGTGTTATAAAACAAACAATGGAACCAACTAAATATTTGCTAAAAAACGAATGATTAAATAAGTCATTATAGAAAATACTACAAAGCCACCAAAAATATCTGGAAGAGTACTATATCTACTGTCATCAAGAGCTGAGAAGAGAAAACAAAATCCACAGGGCAACTAACTGTGAATGATCTCATTCATGGGGAAAAAATAAAGTGAGTTTATATACCATTAGAAATGAATACAAATCTTTGTGCAAAATAAATTACTTCTGAAGAGAAGATTGAGTTTTAATAGAAATTTCCACATTTTATCATATGTATTTTTTGCATACATGTGTTACCTTCATAATTAATCAAATAAAAATGGAGAAAACTAAATATTGAAAATAAAATGATATAATTTTATAATATCACATTAACCTGATTAATTGGGTAAATGGTGGTAAATTACTTAATATTTTGGAGATTTACTATTTAATTAATTTTAAAGATATGAGTCCCCTCAATATGTTTTTCTCTAAAAATTAACAAAATTTGTAAAAAACTAATGCCAAGTACAGTGCACACCAGGCATTTTGTACATATTACTCCATTTGTACACACCATCCTCTTATTATTTCCTTTTTATATACTCAGGTACTTCTCTTTTTTACTTCTAAAAGTAAAAAAAAAAAAAAAAGTATGACCATTATACACTTTCAATAATTAATGCCAGAAACAAGATAAAAAGGAACACTTCCTAAAGGAACACTTCCAATACTTTAGGATATTGATCCGTTCAATAAAATGAATATCTTTTCCTGCATCTTAACAAATATATATTATGAAATAATTAAATGATCACATGATACTAGTATTATGATTCAATCATGACTGAATTCAGTATTATGAAAATGTTTAATGTTAGAGATGCTTAATTTTTTGCCCTGTTCACGTTGGAAAAGAACAGATTTTAAGATTTTATTCTCAGAGCTACTCTCTCTGTTTTTCACTGATATTCTTTTATGCTACCATGGAAACCTCATCTATTTTTATGGTTATTTAGCTTGAATTTTTTGAAGTAGCCCTAAGCCATAAACATATTCAAATCTCTCTCCCACTGTTACACAAGTGTCTTAAAAATTGTTAGCATAGGTTTTTTGTTTATTTGTTTGTTTAGCAATTCAGTTCAGTCACATGTATAAAAGAAAGTAATTTATGTTTTAATCATTATACCGTAACTGTTCCTCCACGTACTTTTATGGCTTTTTGTTACTATTGTTAACTTCTTGGAGATATCTGGAAGAAACTTAACTTTTTTAGTAGTTATTAAATGTGTTCCTTCAACACTCAAATAATCAGAAAAAATGCAAGCTTGAATCAATGGAAGTTTTTTTGTATCAGGAATATTGTTAAAACCAAACAATAAATGGAGAAGAATTATTAAATTAAACATAATCATTTTGAGGTGATGCTTTTTCAAATATATAAATAAATCTTCAACCTCAAAGAATAATGACAATATTAGACATTCCATTCCTATGGACTATTTATTCTTTTTGTTTTGTTTTTCAATTTTTAATATGATTTGAATGAAAGTTTATTCTCCATACAGCAGTTCATCCACATTTTGTTTCATGACATTCACTGCAATTCCTCACAATGTAATAGCTCTCTTCCCACTTCCTCCCCATAGTTACTTCTTCCCTGTGTCCTTCCCTCCCATTCACTCCTACCCCTGAACTATATCCCTGTGCAAACACTGCCTTTCTGTTCTCCCATGATTAATCTGATCTCTCTAAGGAGTATGTCTATCTGATGTAAATATTCACCCTATATGACTATCTATTGTTTGCCTGGAAGCCATAGAAGTGAGGTCAGTTCCAGACCTGAAGGGTAACTAGTGGTCATAGTCTCAAGGGTCTCACCAGGCTCTATCAGAGCAGCAAACCTGGTCTTTTTCATGATTTTGAATTCTGTTTCACATTGTTTTCCCACTCTTTCCAGGACCTCCTGCACTGATCCCCCTCCAAGTGGTTGATAGTGATAGCCAGGCAC